AATTCGGTGTAAATTCTCCTAAAATAGTTGAAACCGCTATATTAACCTAACTCAAGAGTACACTTTACACTCAAATGTTTTGCTGTGTGTTATACATACACCGAGCACAGTCCAACACAAAAGGCTGCTGCCGCTTGAGAATGCTTTTCAACGAAATTAATTCGCTAATGCTCAAACAGTTTTGATTTCAATTCATTCAAGCGAAATCGAACCTCATTCGAAGCACCTATTCATGACTCTTGGAGGCATTGGTTCTTGTTCTCTCTTTGACTCCAGCTTTAGTCTAGTGTGATTGGATGCATTTCAAATGCACATGCATAAGAAACGAAAACTTGTAATGTTAGTAATAAACGCAATAATCGATAGGGACGGTTTCTAATAGTATCAAAATGAGAGAGAGAGAGAGAGAGAGCAGAATACGTTTAATTTTTCACCACCACTGCGGATTTTCGATGTCAATTGTTTGCTGATTTAAATATTCATTCCTGTTTGCATGCTATGATCACAAAGTGGAGGGTAAAACGCAAACGAATATCGAAAAATTGCGAATAATATTAAATATGATCGAGATCAGGGCAACCAAAATATTCATGGAAAACTATCAAAATATTTACGAAAAAAAATTCCTCGTCGAAAATTAGCCTAAGAATGGTCGGTTAAATTGAATCAAGACTTCAAATGATACTCAGATTGATGTTTCCGAATAAAAAGTCCAATCACATGCTGACAGCTTATTTTAGTATATTTTGACACGCAACTTTCCGAGCTATATTTGAAGTATAAGAAAGCTTTGAAAAGAAATTTGGACCCATCATTCTCGAGCTAATTTTCAACGAGAAATTCGGAAATTCAATCATTTTTGGCCAAAAATAAGGCTCATTGCCTTGATTTGGGCAGTTGTGATGTGATTATGCTATTTTTTCACCTTTTTCTGCAATATTGGCTTCTCTAATGCCAAATTTAAGCCATATAAGTGACACGTGTTATATGCCACAAGAAACAAGACGTCAAGCGCTACATTTTAGGAACACACCGCACCAGTGCTAGTTCCTTAGAAGTAGTTAAAAATGGTTGCATACTAGCAGGAGTATGGTTTTTCAAACTGCCGACCTCGATTTGGGGCAGAAGGAAGAATTCGATCAAGTTGAAATGTTCTAGGCCTAAGTCGAATTTTTTACGAGCTTTCCGAATATTATAGTGGTTTGGGACTAAAGGCGGGTTTCTGCCCTGTTTTTGCCCTAAAATAGTGATTTTTGGTGATTTTTCGACATTTTGGGCCTCCCCTGTCCCTCCAAAGGAGAGAGTGGCCCAAAACAATGGTATTATTGGAGTCTGCTGGGCATTTCATCAGAACACACCACCATTGTCAGACCACCGATTTGGTGTGTAAAAAAATTATATAGCCAAAAACCCTGTGAAAATGGTGAGATCAAAATTACATAAAAATTTTTTTTTTCAATTTTTAGAAAGTGCAAGTTGAGATTCGGATTCACCATGTTTTTAATTTTGAGGTTGCCTACCATTTAAGCCCAAAAAATCGAAAAAATAATACCACGTCAATTGGAGTTTTTTTCACATTTTATATTTTGAACCCACTTTTCAGGGCCTGAATGGGCCCGGATGGGTGGTCGTAGTGGATTTTTTTGTAGCCCCACCGATTATCTATCCAACCATGTACATTAGGGTGTTTTCGGCATCGTTTAATCAAAAAATGGTATGCCTCATTCGATAGATCTCAGAATTCTGAGTCGATTGATAATATTTTTGTCGCGGATGGACTTGTGATGACACTTCCCGAAGCTGAAAACAAAAACAGTTTTATTCTGAATTTCCATAGTAACCAGTGACAACCAGATTTGATTTGAAATTTTGAAAGCAAAAATTTGACAAGAAAACATAAAATTGAATCTAGTTGTCAAACGTTACAATAGAAATTCAGAATAAAACATTTTTTGTTTTTAGTTTCGGAAGTGTCACCACAAGTCCATCCGCGACAAAAATGTTATCAATCGACTCAGAATTCTGAGATCTATCGAATGAGAGTTACCATTTTTCGATTGAACAATGCTGAAAACACCCTAATGTACATAGTTTCGAAAGTTTGTACCAGGGTTTTCAAGTGTAAAAATATGGAGTGCCAATTTAATTTTTTTTTTTCACATTTTGGGTCACCCATAAGAAGTTTATACACCAAGTTTGAGCGAAATCGGAGAGGTCACTTGCAAATTTTGTCCCGGTTGGTGTGGAATCGTCGTTATACAAATAGTTTTGGTTGCCGTGAATATCATTTTCAGTTTAATTGAGTGTTCATGGCGATTCAGGAATTTTGTGCATTTTCATTCGATGCTCTTGAGATTTTCTATATATTTATATAAATGCAACTTTCATTTGGCCAATGGCCATGAATGGTTGCACGCTTTTTCCATGCTGTATGTATTTGTGTTTGTGTGACTTTCAACTCAATTTGAAATATTACACGCACGCAATTAGTCAAATGGGCCATATTCAGTAAGTAAGCTGCATATAGGATTCATAGAGGCGCCATCTATCGCTGCGCTTTTGAACTCTTATGTATTCCATTGACTTCAATGATATATTGCGGAAAGATAGTGGCGCCACGCTTTATTCTCATGCTTTATTCGTGAAGTTTTAGAAGAAAGTTCATACGCTGTCATCAATGTATTTACATTGGCTGTATGGTCCCATTGCATTTAGTGGTCTTAATGAGACTGAAATGGAAAAAAAACCCGTTTGCCTCGCTGTTGATGGAAAAATTTAGAGCCTGAAATGAAATTAAATTGCGCCCTAGCAACTATTTTAGCCATTGACTCGTCCAGCATTATTTTGTCTGCTGTCGACTTCTCACCACAGTTGTACTTTCGATTTCGTGTTCAGTTAAAATTAAAATGTAATGAGACTGGATGCGACGTTAATGGTCTGAGCAAGAGATATACACGAGGCACTGAACCTCGTCACGAAACATTGCCAACGGAATACAATGTTTCAAGTGCTGCTGTACAGTGTACATGTACATTCAACGAAGATATTTTAAATCAGAGAAACATAAACACTTACATGCTTATTATCATTGTCATTGTACAACTGAGAGATAGAGAGAGAGAGAGAGAGAGAGAGAGAAATGTGAAGTGAAAGCAAGCACTATAAATGAATGTGCATTGTGGAATTTTGTCTCTTAAAATTCCATTCGGAATTTCGTGTGGCGTATTTTTCGTTGTGTACTTTTTTTCTGTCATGCCATTTTATTTTCTCCCGTTGCAATATATGCATAAAGTCGCCGCCTTTCAACTGAATCATCTCTCAAGTTCTCTCATTTTCCACTCGTCTTTCACTATTTTCTTATTTGACATAATTTTTCGTTGATTTTATTCCGTTTCGCTCTCATATTCGTTCTCATATTGAAGTGCGCACCGCATATAACATAAAATGAGTTGCAAAACGTGGTGGTGGTGCTGTTGTACATTTTTTTTTGAGTTGCTGCTCTCGCCGACAATCTCTCTTTCTATGGTATTCTATTGCAAATTTTTAACGCTGTTTCGCCCCTGAACGTGGGTACGTGGATACGTAGATTTGGGTGAAAGCGTGTGTTCGCATCGTGTATGTGCTTTGTGCTCTCTGTCGTGTCACTATTATTTTTCCATTCGGTTATATGTTGTGCATTACATATGGGGAAAGAGAGATGTAGATTTCACCGTTTTTATTTATTTAAAATGTGCGTTTTTTTCTCATTGTGCGTCGCTTGCTAAAAGCGCAACGGGGGGAATAAGATGAAAAAAAGCAGAAGCAGCACACACGAAAAATTTGCCAGCAAATTCATTCCATTACTTATCTGTAGATACGGCAAATAAAATGTAAGGAAAATTTCTATACAAATCTATGTTTTATACACCTCTTTGAACCCAAACGATGGAAGCGAGAGGGAAGAAGAGAAATGGCGAGGAGAGAGCCAAATACACATAGTTGATATGTGGTGAACCACTTTAGTGCTGCAAGTGTACGCATTCATGCATAGACGATAAACGTTGGCTCGATTGATGTGCATGTTTATTGGTGCTTCAGTCGAGCTTTATGCTAAAGCAGAGATCTCTCCCAGTATCCCGCTACACACGCCCGTGCTGAAGCCATACGCGCATCTCTTTCGATTCCACTTCTATATTCTTCTTTTTTTGTCGTGTGTGTCATGTTCGGTGTTTAGCGAAATAAATCAAAAACTCAATACGCAAAGCATAAAACTGACGTTTTGCGTGAAAATGAGCAGGGGTAACAGCAAGCCAAACCAAAATAGCTGATATGACTGTAATCTAGTTGTGACTATTTGTATTTGGTGAGCTTTTCAACTACGTAAAAAAAGGAGCTGAAGTTGATGTTGGCAAAAACACACTCATGGAGTGTGAAAGAGAAATAGCACACGAAGCGTCCATACCATTCGTTCACTCGCTATATCTCTTTAAATTGATTTCTCCTTTAGCTGTGCTCTTCTCTCACTCTCTCTATTTCAGTTCGCCCATTTTGTGTTGTGTGTTTTTATGCTGCCCGCGTTTAAAGTGCCATTCTATATTTCTTTATTCTTTTGTTAGAAGTCTATTTCAATCTAAAATAAAATTATGTACGGGCGAATTTGAGATAGAGTGAGGCGAGTGTGAGTGAACGCGTGTGTACTTATGAACGTGAGTAGATATATGATATGCACACATGAAGGTATGGCATCACTCAATTGTGTGTTTGTGTGTGTGTGTGTGTGGGTGCGAGGGGGAGAGAGAGATATTACACGTATATTGAATTTTGTGCTCTCTTTTTTATCATTACTCGAGTTTTATTTGCTATTTTATTTCATTTTAGCTGTACAGCAACAGTACGGTTGACGTTATTATATTAACTTTTTTTCCTCTTTCGATCGGGTTTCCTTATTTATTTTTTTTTTTTTGTTTCTCTTCCCTTGCTTCGTTCGGTCTCACTCATTTTTCTCTTTCTCTATTTTGCAGATTTCGTAGAAGATGTGGATTTCAACTCTGCTTGGATTATGTCTGAGTGGTTTACTAAGTATAGCTGCGTATTCAATAAAAGACAATCAGGTATTAAAAATCATTTAATGTTGTTGTTTTCGTCTTATTCCATTCCTGGCTCTTTTTTTCACTTCTTATTTTTCTCCATTTTTTCCCGCAATTTTTGCTTCTGCGTGTGTTGCTTTCCACGCAAATCCATATTGTGCTTATCTGGTGTGGTCGTTGCAGTGGCCGTGATTGAGCAAATTTAAATGGTTTTGATAGCTGCGTATGTTTCGCATTTTCATTGTTGAGAATGCCGAGATCCCATGCACATAGCGATCAATTCAAGCATATAATATACATATTTGTATATCGATGGCTAGCCTTTGTTCATCATTTTTTTTTCCTATCCCTATGACTACCACGGCATTTATTTTAATCGGTCTTCGATTCGGTGGTAATGCAATGTTGTCGATTGATCCGGTTGCGAATTCGTTGAAGTGGCTATCCGTTTATTTAGCCATTAAAAACACATAATTTGCGAAATGATTTCCCTAATTGATTTTCAATGAAACATAAAACCGTAAATAGTTTTATAATTATGATGTGTGTGCGCGCGTGTAGTTCGGTTGGTATTCGAAAAATAACACCGAATCGATTGAATAGCACGTTTGTGTGTATGTGCTAAAGGAAAAGCGTCGAGTGGTGCTTTTGTATCGTGCTCGCGCTCCCATTTTTTTTGCATTTCCAAGCCAATGTTTATCACATTTAATGACAGTTTTGTGAACAGCAGCAGCTCTCTGTATTGCAAACATTGAAAAGCAAAATTACGCTTCGCGCAGCAACGCATAAAAAAAGCAACGCCATCGAATTAAAAATATAGAAATTGCAAAAGCGAAATTTCTCAAAATCTAATTTCCATAGCTTTCAATGGATGCCAACGAGAGGAAACATTCATTGTATGTGCCATCATAAAGTGCAAATTGTTTGTGTTCGCTTTCTCTTTCTCGCACACCCATTATGCTTGCTGCCAAATCGTTTCGTCTCGCTTCCGCATTGTGTAAACAAGTTCATAGTGTATTGTCAGTAGTTTACAAAAGCAATAGCCAAAAAGTACTTGACGACGACAACGATGGTGATGATGATGATGATGATGATGATGATGATGATGATGATGACGACAAGGCCAAGAACCCAAGACGTATAGTTTGAAGGCAAAACTTTCATACTTTTTATCGTGATTGTTGTTATAATGTTCACTGGAAAAAGGTACAATTGGGGTGCAATAGTGCGGCATGCATGGCTGTTCAACACTGTGGACGAGTTGTTGAAACATTTTTTAAGTTTCAGTGCATTTACTCAGCTTATATTGGTTCAATTTCGTTAATCCAAACCAAACAATTCGAAAATTCGGTTGCTCATTTTTCCGTTTTTTTTTTCTCCTGCTTCATCTTATTCTTCTTCTTTTGCAATCAATGTTCGCTCGTTGGCTGTGTTCCTCTGTCTCGTCGTCGATAGCTTTCTTTGTTGAATGCACCATAAAAACACTTCTAAAAGCTATTGATGACGGTAACAACATGAATCGGAGAAATGAGAAGAAAAGCACATGATCCAACCAAAGCGAAAAAAAACTTTTCTTGTTATGATTCTATTGAGAGCGACTCTTTACACAACCTTTGGAATAGTGCGGTAATGGTTTGTTTCTTACTCGGTTCTCGCTTATGTGCAGTGCTTAAAATTCATTAGAGAAAGAGCGAGGCAGGCAGCGGCGAAAAGATGTGTGGAAATCGAATTGAAAACTTTGTATTGATGGGATTCATGAAAGAATATTAATTTGAATGAAGCACACTCTACATGCACACTGCACACTGTATACTGCACCATTGCCATGGAGCACATTCTATGCTTCGGTATAATGTACCATTTGCTTCGAACTAAAAGCAACAGAAGAAGCGAGAACTCACAAAAAAACGAATCAAAGTTGGCAACTTTTCGACTTAACATCGCGTTTGTGTACTCAACGATCTTGACGCAATTAATAAAATATTTTCCAAATGAAAAATACTTGAGCCGACCACCATTGGCAACCACCATTTTTTCCAAATAATACCTCCGAGTATCTGTGTCCGTGTCGATGTCTATGTGTGTGTTAGTTTCTGTTTTGACGTAATTCTCGCCGGAGAGGATACTTTCAATATTTTATTTCGTTTCCAAGGGTAACCAGGCAATGAGATAATGGAAAATTCAATTGTATAAATTTGAATTTCACTTTCATGTGCCAGCGTATGCATGTGATATTCGTCGAATCATCGAGACAAGGTCCTTTTGGATGGAAAACTTCCAGAAAAACTGCACTTGCAGCTCATTCGTGTTACAGCACAAGCACGGGCACGATACGAAAAGACATAGATAGAGAGAGAGAAAGAGAAAATGTTTATTTCATTATTTTTTCCGCTTCTCGTTCGAAGTTTTTTTACATTACCCAATGTGCTGCCTGTGTGAGAATGTTCTGAATTTCATGTATCTATTAGAATGCGTGCATAAGCCGAGGATGAGCACAGAAATTCCAACCGTGATATTTGTCCGACCGAAGAAACTACCATTGCAATTTTTTGATTTTACATATTTTCTTGATTGTGTTCTGCGTGGGAGAAACTCTCTGCTCTGCTCTGCTCTCTCTCTCTCTCTCTCTCTCTCTCTATCTTTCTCGCTTACTGCATACCTCTGAACCGATTCACGGGTTTGCAGTTTACTTTGACTATCGTTTGCATCGAAATTGCTTCGCAGTCAACCGAGAGAGCAACGGTTTCTTATCTAATGCTAGCAAATAAATGAAAGAACTAACCGTACTGTACCTATGTGAAATCATTTTATACGGTGAAATTGTTGATTTAATTTTTCCTGATCACGTAATTGCTTACATTCCGTACCTTCAGGAGATTGGGTGCAACAAGAGTTAATATCGTTCAGCCAATATGTTTTGAGCGCCGTTGACACTCGGGCAACATGGTGAAACACAAAACTACTTTGACAGCTCACAATATCATATTATCCCTATGGGGAGCTGTTGTCAAAGTAATCCAATCGCTCTGTATAAAAAATAATCATATTATACTATTGCTTTTGGAATGGAAAATTTGTTATAACGCATAGTTCGAACCAATTGAATATTGCTATAAGCAGTAGTAAAGACTTAGCGCAATTCATTTTTAAAACACTGAAAGTGCAAGACACCAAATGTCGAAAAAACTAAAAAAGAATTTCTTTGCACTTGCAGTAGTTAGTATTTAATCGTACTAAATTAAGGACAAAATCGTGCTGCAATTCAAAATCAAGACACTGCAAGTGCAAGTAAACGTTGGGTCGGTGTGCGTTTTCGTGGTGTCTGTGCATGATAAAGTATATCGAATGATTTTTCACCATTCATTTGATCGGCCCATTTATTCGTCCTTATTTTGGTACGTTCACGTTTAGTGACTTTTTGTCATTCGTTGAAAAAAAAAAATTACTCGAAATTACATTTCCAAACCAACTGTTTTTTCAATGAATAAATTTTTTTTTTCTAAACATGAACACACTAACTTTACTATAATTCATACGGTGGGAACAAATTAATAAGAACACAACCGAAATAATATTCAATGAATGTTTTTTTTTTATTTCCATTGCACGTGAAATGAAAATGTGTTCAAATATGGTATAGTGAGGTTATGTGTTACACTGCAAGTACTACTGTCAAGCACACGGATCTCGATAGGGATACATTTGTGGCCCAGCTATCAACGCTATCAAGCCTCAGGGTGTAATGCCTGTTAGCGCATTTTTCCGACTGCTTATTGTGTATGTATGTGAATTTAATATGTATATATGCCAAATATTGGCCCCATTGCAAGCTACCTTCCGTAGCATTACACCATTTTCACAAACAGCATCTCACACAAACAAGATCAACGGTAGAAATACCGTGGATGCCATAGCATGTAAGTCGTATGCTATTTGGCTGTTGCCACCACTGCACAATCATGCCAAAAGTGCGTCTTTTGCCATTGCATATTGGTATGCGGTTCGTATAGCCATTGGTTGCCACATAACAACTAAACTTACAGATTTAGCTTGATTGTTGGAATTTTTCTTCTTATTTTGCGCCCCTTCATCACCTCTCACCGGTCTACTATCACACCCATTATTCATAGCTTCATTCACAATAATCTATTTAATTTTCTGGAATTCTTCATTCTTCATTCTTCTCCCATTACATCTTTTTCTTTCTCGCTTTGTGTTGTTGTCGTCGTAATCGTAATCGTAATCGTAATCATCGTCGTGTCTCGATTGACGCATACTTAATTGCATTATAATTGTTGGCCGCTGTCACCGTACATGTGGTTGTCCGGATGGAAATATTTGCCGCGTTTGCCCATTGATTTCCAATTTACGTGTTATATAAACTTATCGGTATTTATTAGCCACGCTCGTGAGCACAATATCAACATTTTCTGCGAATCTGCTGCATTGTTGACTTTTATTTCACACAAAAGCACCCGCTTTGGCCCACACACGCACACACACAGAGGTACACGATCACATATGCATGTGCACATGGACAAATTACACTCATAGAATAGGTACACAATATAAAATGTGGTCATGGCAAAATGGATTTTCGAAGCTCGTAAAGCAATCATAAATACCCAACTGACATGAGAATGAAGAGCAAAGCTATATAAAATACGGTCACAAACTGTTCAATTCAGCCTTCGATGCAGTTATTTCTGGCGACGCGGCAACAAAAGCAGCGGCATCGGCAGCAGCAACGGCAACCAAATATACATAACAGATACTGCATACTGCATCCGCGATGAACTCAAATTCAACATTTCCGTTTAACTTTTTCCGTTTTGTGCGGAATTCCCATTTTTTTTCTCACTCGTTTTGGTTGGTTTGTTTGTTCGGTTTTTGTTTGTGCATTTCTTCTTCTTCATCATCTTTTTTGCGTATTTATAGTTTCAACATTTAAAGCCATTATGTCATTGAATTTCCTTTTAATTGGTTTGTTTCTCGCTCTTCATTACAGGAAACAATTCCAAACATGAAATTCGGTAAGTTAACTTTTAGCTCTCTTTTTTTCATCGGTGTTCCACACTTTTTCGCCATTTGGAACAAAGAATAATGTTGTCAAAGCGATTGTTTTTATGTAAATTATTGGATGCATTCCAATTGAAAAACTGAATGTGTTCGCAAAATACAAAGAATAATGCACTTTATGCATTGACGTGGGAGAGAGAAAGAGAGAAATAAAAGCGACGACTTGCAACGCCTTCCTCAGCAAAAATCGAATCGTTATTCAACTGCAGCCTTTTCATTCCATTGTTTGCTGGAAATGAGAGAGCGCGAGAGTACGATAGAAGAAAAAAAAAAAAAAACGTGAGAAAAATCACAAAGAGAAACGCGTAATTTAATTTCGAATAATCCCAATCAGGAAAACACCACTTTTTATTTCAGTCGAATTCGCTTGAAGTTAGAACCAGTTGACGGGCGGAGAGGGGAACAGAACAAAAACAGTTCATTCTGTTGATTTTTAGTTTTTATTTGAATTTTGAAAGCATGTCTCGCATTCGTAATCTCACTGCCGATCGATAAACTGAGGTGGAATTACACAGAACGTTTTTCAACTGATTATCTTTCACCCTCCCGTCCCTCTTTCTTTTCATCTCCGGCTATTTTTTTTTTTTTTTGTTTAATTCTCCTGTGCCATCCGGAAGCCAAAGTAAATTCAATAAAACAATTTTTTTTACTGCGAATCATTTGGCTAGTCATTTGGCCATATGGTAAACACTGCAATCCAAATGAACACAGATGGAACAGTTGATGCTCGAATGAAACGTGTGCTAAGCGCGTGTCTGTGTGTGGTATTCGTTAATAGAATTTTCGATTAGAAATACGAGCGGCAAATAACAAACAGCTCACTTAATCGAGAACGTAATGAAAATCACATGAGTGCGAGCGAGAAAGAGAGAACTGTGTTATTTGTGATTTGAAAGAAAAATAAATGTACAGCCGCTTTTTTGCCACATACACACATACACATTCGCTCCTGATGAATCCTGTTGTCATTTTTAATGGATTCGCTTTTGTTTACATACGGCGAATTGTATTTTGTCTATGTGACTGTTGTATGTGTTCGTGTGTTAGTACAACCGCCCAACTGAAAAGTATCGAGACAAACATCGTCGTCAGAATGAATCGTGCTGCAAATGCAAATTGAACAAATAAACCTAAAGGTCGAAATACAACTCAAAACTTACGAATGCGTATTTTGTCTTTTTCTCTGTGTCTAGTTTCAGCATTTCGTCAATTGTTTTGACGAAATCAAAGAAGAAAATGTTTGTTTGTTTAGTCAGCTATTAGTCCGGAACAAACAAATTGTTGTACTATCACTCTCTCTCTCTCTCTCTCTCTCTCTCCCTCTGTATGTCTCGCGTTCGTGTGTTCAATCGATCGGAAAAATCAATTCTCGTTATTTCGAAATAATCGAATATGGTTTTTTGGATAGCCCTTTGATGTGATTTGGATTTTACAATTCGCATTTATCCAAGATCGAGAAAAGCAATACCGATTTATTGAAAACTTTGCAATGCGATTGTCCACATCAAACAACAAATTCAACCAATCAATAATAATATCGTTCTGATTTTTTCTTTGTTCTGTCCTGTTTGCTATTGTTGTCGGAAGCGGATTGCATCAATTGAAATAAAAATGGATTTTAAGTATAACAATGCACACACAGAGATGGCTATTTGCATTTTTTTTTTGGTCTGCCTCTATCGAAATCATTGTATCGTTGTCGTGGTCATAGTCGTCACACTGAATTGCTGCATTCTTTCAACCAGATCCAAGCGATTATCGATTCAAACGAGTTTTATTTGCAGTATGAAAATTTTATGCTATGAATATTGTTTGCTATGCATGTGATTTGGTTGGATGCACTCTTTTCCACCAGAAACCTCACTTGCCCTCTCCAAAATATGGGTTTTTGTGATAGCCAAACCGAAACAAAGCAGTGTGAATACTGGTGTGACGAAATTTTGGTGTGTACGCACAATTAATGTATGGCTGAACCATACACACAGTGAACTTTAGAGACTTTGGTTTCCGCCTGTCGCGGTATTTGGTGTGTACAGCACCGTCGAACTGGCAAATTTTTTTATGTTTTTCTCGGCAAGAGTGAAGAAAATGGTTGTGATCCATTGCCGAACAAGAAAATGCCATTGCAAAATGTTGAAGTGGTGAAAAATCACTTCCTATCCAGCCTATAAGCTTTGCCTGGTTTTACATTTACTAAATCACATTTGAAAAACCCCAAAGTAATATAATAAAGGCACTAAAACAGGCTCTGGGCCAGACGAATCTCGCCAATGTGGCTACGAGTTTCTCGGGCCAAATTCAAATCTTTTGCATTGCATGGAACTTCATTTCGATAGCGTTGTTTGTATGTGCAGATTTATCATCACGTATTAACGGTGAATGTTTCTTCACAGAAAAATTTTCTGCGCAAATTTATGTGTTTACATATTAAATGAGCTGAACGGGAGCGAGTGTAAGAGAGCTAGAGAGTGAGCACCGCACACTGAAAATTGCATGCCAAAACGTACAGCTTAAGCGTGGAATTTGAGACGAGAGCACGTTTATGTGGAAAATGGTAAAAAGTTGTGCAAAGTAACTGTTTGCCGTAGGAAGATATAGAGACGAAATGTAGCAAATTGCTTTGAAGAAACGTGTATGGCCTTCTGCAGCCGGCTACAACATAACCGAGACCAAAGAAGCCAAATCAATTTGCAGAAGCAACAACAAAAAAACAGCACACACCCATTTGCTCAACGTAGTATGCAAAATTCCGATTTTCACATAGAAATTCGCCTGATTCATTCCAGATGAATTGCATCACAAAACGCAGAGACGGAGAGCAAAGATCAAATGCCGAACGAACAAGATTTCGGACGGAATGGCAGTTCCATCACATCCAAAAGCCGTAATCTGGTTTTTCTACTTGTAATCCTTTCTGCGGCGTGCATGAAATGAAACGAACGAGATGTGATTGCTTAGAATAATGATAATGTGATTCAATTGTTCATCGTCATTTATATGACAGTATTATTAATTGACTTCCGACACACAGCATCATCGGAATGCATGACCACGCCATACACATACACACCGTCGACGGAGCGCAAAAAGCTTACACACATACTCACTTATTCACAATGTTTGAACCAAATGGTTTAACGTTTAGATTTCGGCAAAGTTTGGTTTATCTATTGGCATCGGGGCGATGAGCTTGAGCCCAGGCTTTTCAGGAGCTCCGGTGAATATGAATGAATGAATGAACGAATGTGTCAACTATTATAAATGTAAATGTGTTGTTGTTCCGCATAGCGAAGCGCAAATTGAAAAGAGCCGCATTGAACGAGCCATGTCTAAAATGCACACGCATTTGAAATTGTGGCATAAATTTAATGTTTCATAAATTTATATACCTACATGATAATTTATTCATTTGCACACAGCGGTGCATTGTACTGCTATGCGTTTACGTAAACGCCATTGTAGCCCGACGATTTGGCTTTTTTTCTGGGAAACCAGTCACACTAAGCCGAGCGGCAATTCTCTCTCACTCTCTCTCTCTCTCTCTCTCTCTCTCTCTCCATGTGTTTATGTGTGTTTGTCTGTCTCAGTTCACTCAGGAAAACAAATGCTCTGCCAAAATCGGCTTGTAGTCGTTCTTTTCGCTGTAATGCGCTGTAATCAGCAAAATGTTTAGCTGGCTTTTTACCACGAACGAACACAACGAAAGCAATCAAAGAAATACGATATTTGACAACGTTTGCTATTTTAGTGTGGCAATGCGAAACAAAACCGCCCGATTTGGTTTTGCTCGTTCGTTCATTTGCCCCTAAGCATTATCTTGAATCGAGATACAGATCTTGCTCGAGTTCAGAGTCGAGGTAAATATTTGATATCTCTGGACTAGGATTGGGCAAAACCCGTTGCGTTGAGGTTACTGCATATGACAACACAACGCCGCCAAAATGATCGTCGCAGTGAATGCGCAATCCTTAACAGCTTTTCGCAATTTCGTGTTTGCAAATTACATTCGGCGTCTCGTTTTAAATTAGTCAGTTTATTCGGTTAGAATGAAATGTGCAGCTTCTGGGTTGTCATATTATCATCATTAAAAAGCCAAGCTGCATTCCATACATAACCTATATTCATTGCAATGAAAATTTCTTAATGGAAATTAAAACATTTCATTTTGTTGTAACTTCTCTAAATTTTTTTTCCTGACACTCGCTCTATATCATTCATAGCAAATTGTTTTGTGGGGAATTCAACATATCTGCATGGAGAAACTTTCAAAATTGATTGTAAAACGCAGTGCATATGCGAGGTAAGTTTTACGTATATATTTGATGTAGCATTCATTAGAATGAATAAAAACACACACATACACACACAAAAGAAAAGAAACCTTTCAATCCGGGATGTGAATGGTGGGAAAGTTTTCGTTTCTCTTTGTAAGTTTTTCGTATTTTCGAAATTAAGTTTTGGAACAAAAACAGCGTAATGCAAATACGTGTAATGGAACCAAAAAACGAGTTAACTCATTACGATATTCGCGAGGTAAATTTCCAGCACAATACATCCATCAGTTTAAAAAGAAGAGAAAAAGGACGTAAGCTCTATTTGAATGAAAAAGAATACCGTGCGCGCTTTATAATATTATCCACTTGGAATTGAATATCGCTACCGGCATCAGATTTAAACAAAGCGGTTTTCGTTTTTATTCGTATTGTAAGAGCTTTTGCATCTCTCTTGGGAAATAATCAATTTCTAAATGACCATTCGATAAAGACAGTGAGATCGGTGGGGAGTGAGCGAACGTGCTATTCTTGCACCATGCTCTCATTTCATTCAGACGTTCTTCCCATTTAATGGCACTAATTGGATGTAAATGAGCAAAAAAAGTAAATTTCAAAAAGAATAACGAATAGTATTGAATAGACTGGTCCAAACAAAAGTTGTGTTTTTCATGGACTTTTGTATGAAATTATCATTTTTTGTTCGGGACGTACCTCAAAAAGCCAAATTTGGGTATTTTTAGCTGAGCAAACACCTATTATTTTTGAGAAAAAATAACGTTGCGCCAAGATACCAATCCTAAAAAGCCTATATTTAGGATAAGTAGATTTTTTCTAGAGTTGAAATTGAACCAATCGAATATGCGGCTAGAACTATGTGAAAACATCACTTGATTCGGTCATGTAGGTACTTAAAATGTTCGTAAGGGATCATTCTAGAAGTTCAAAGGCAGAAAACAGTAGAAATCATTTGTTTTTATCTGTCAAACCGAATAGACCAAGAGCCCACCGTACAACCAATATTTTTTCTTGTGCACTGCAGATATTCATAAAATTAACATCTTCCCACAATACTCTAACAGAAATGTACCACTTTTTTCAATGAAATTGGGCGTATCGCTTTATTCGCGGTTTTATTCGCGCTAAAGCGATCCGCCCAATTTCATTGAAACAAGTGGTACATTTCTGTTAGAGTATTGTGGGAAGATGTTAATTTTATGAATTTCTGCAGTGCACAAGAAAAAATATTGTTTGTACGGTGGGCTCTTGGTCTAGATGATCATGTTCGTGATTTGCTCATTCTGGCCTGAAATTTGTCTTTTATGTTTGGGTCAACTGTCGCCAAATTCCATCCAATTCGCAATATAACAAGTACCAAAATGTTTGTACAGGTTCTGGCTACACGATACAAGTCGAAAACTGAACAAAAGTTTACCAGCTGGGTGACTTATGTGGCGTCAAATGTAAGAAATGCCAAAAATTCGCCATTTTTTGGTCATTTTACACTGTAATTGGCCCAGAATGTCTTTTCAAGGGCTAATGTCTTGGTAAAAGTTATAGATATTGACGAGTCAAACAAAATCCCATCATTGGTTTTTGCTAAGAATTGGTTGAAAAAATTATTTTGGTCGAAATGTTGCGAACTTAAATGGCTTCCGAAATGAGTGGAATGAAAAAATGGACACCTCTTTGGAAAGTGGTTTCATTTCTACGTTTTTCGAGTTGTTGATGCCAAACTTATTTTTTTAGGCCTACTTTCGAAAACCGATCTTTGGCGATTCTAGGCGCTTTTGAATATCTCAAAAAATTTTTTTGGATCAGTCTAGTATTGAACCACATTTTCTGGTGGTTTTCCTCGTGTGCTGCTTTTTTCGTTCTTCTTGTTATGTTTCAGCTCGGGAAATTCCCATTACAGCTATAAGATAATAATCGGACACTTTTCAAATAATTAAAATTAATAGAAAAAAAACACACACACACACACACCGTTTAAACAGGAGTGCTTTTTATCGAACGAAAGAGCCAAAGCGTTTTTACGGCAAAGAAAAAAACACCAACCGAGTTATTTAATTATTTGAACACCGAAAATTGTGTATACTTTTTACTTCGAGGCACGTAGCCGGAGTCCTCACACACACACACACACACACACTGAAAAAAAAATCGAACGAAATTAGTATTCAAAATCGGTAAACTGTTGTATTGATTGGTGGAGGTATACATATTGAAACAAAGCCTCACACCATCACCACCCCTCAACACTGAATGGAATGCTTTGATAATGGGCCCAATAAAAGTGACACAATTTTCGCAAACAACATCCAAAAAAATGTGTCCGCAAACAAATGTTATTTTATCATTTAATTGGTCGGAATGTTTTTGTTTTCGGTTAATTTTTTTGCACATCCAAAAATGAATTCAAGTAACGATTATTTCTCAACAAATCATCACATTCAATTAATTATTATCCAAAAAAAGCAATTTATTTGTTCCGCCGTATTGGCTCTTCAATTATTTGCTGTAAAATATTCTATAATTTCATTTGCACTATTTACACTACAGTCGAAAAAAATATCATCAAACATTGTTTGACAAACAATTAATGTCTTTATTTTTCCCCGAAAGGAAAAAAAACGAATTTTGGCCAATCAGGAGCTGCCAAACTCCATTCACATACACACTAATTCATTGTGGAAATTATTTATTTGTATCCATTGTTATATATTAAAATTAACTGTGACAAGAGCATACTCGAAAATATGCGCCATTATTCAAATAGAAATAGAATGAAGAAGAGAAAAAAATAACACGAACCGCACCTAATACTGTATTCCATAGTAAAATGGTTGAATGCGCATAATGGAAAGAAGCAAAATGCTGTTCATTTTATTCATTCATTTGTGCAAGTGATATCCATAATATCAAATACAAAAAATGAAAATCGTAAATAGAGCGTGTAAAAATTGTCTGTATGTGTGTGCCTGTGCACTGTGTTGTGCACGCCTCACAAGGATTCCACACAGCAGATTTGACCGAAAGAAAAGCGATTGTTGTTCATTCACCAAAAAAAGAGCAACGAATAGGGGAAGGTGGGGCAATTCGCGCCATCGGCTTTTTCTCGACACAGGCAATACATATACAAAAAGTTCTAGTATCATTCGAAAGAGCATTGAAAACTGCATATTTGGTTGGTATACTCGACATTTTTCATTCGAGTACAGACAATTTACAGGCATAAATGTGTTTTGTGCTAGTACTGAGTTCATTTTTCGAGCTCACAGAATTTCAGCTTTGACCATTAAAATTTAATATTTAAAAAAAAACGGGTTGATGTATTTTGTAGCCAACGCGATAGTCTCGATCATTAAACGTCAAACCAACAACGCCACACATTTTGACGAGAACTACATTGATGAGTGTATTCAATGCAGTGTCAAACATAGTCGTCATTGTGTTGTGTGGTGAAATAATAATTATTATTTGAATTTTAAATAAATGAAAATGTTTCGATTCTGCCAAATAAAATTGTGCAAATATGCCGCTGACACACAAGACAAAAAAATTGCTTTCTTTCGGTAGATTAAACACGTATTCAAAGAAAAATTGTTTTTTTTTCCATTTTCAATTGAGTTGTATGAGAGAAAATTACGGTTTTATTGGAGTTTCCATAATTTAAAAAAAAAACACAAAATGTTAGATTCAAAATAGAAACTGGTTCGTGGCAGAATTGTTTTTTTTTTTTTAATTTTGCGGACCATACTGAGAAAACGCTTGCGTTCGAACAGAAAACTACACTGAAACAGAAGTCGATTTTACATTAGCTGTCAAACCGCCAAGATGAACAAGTGCGTTTGTAAAGTGAGCGCGTTCACTCCGTGTCAGCAGGTTTTGGACGAATTTCATTTAGCAAATGATGTTGTTGTTAGTGTAATGATACCCCCGCGTTTGTAGCTTATCACCAGCTCTTTCTTATGGATATAAATTTGTTTTGAATATTTTCAATTTTTGTGGCTGAATCGATCTTCAAACAGCAATACAGTACGCCCCCGCAAATTAGAAACCCGAGAATTAGAAAACCTCAGAAATTAGAAATGAATTTCAGGTTTGAAAATTTGTATGGAAAATTTCTAATTTCCGGGGTTCATTTCTAATTTCCGGGGTTTCCGAATCATTTCATTCAAGACAAAGGGTAATTTACTTCATTTTTAATGAAAAAACGTAATGAAAGTCTTTTCCATTTCGTTGAATAACTATATTAGCAGATCAGCTTGAGATTTTCGACGTTTACCATGAAATTAAAAATTAAGTCAAGAAGTTATCTGTTCCATATTGTCTGCGTCAATCATCGATCATCAATCATTAACAAATTGAAACCGATTTATTCCATCAGAGAATTTGCATATACAAAATTGTATATAGAATGCTAGCGTTTCTGTTTACTATCTATAATCTATAATAAGAACAGGCGGTCATCATTTATTTCGGTTTGTTCCAAGGAGTAGTTCATCCAGTAAAATAAACTAACAGACTTACTATATATTTATAATCACTAAAATAACTGCTTATAAGCATGTATTCACATACAATACTTGATTGAACAGTGTTCAATATATTGTTTTCAATTAAGCAAATCATTCCCCCTATCAGTTTTTAATTTGATACCACAACCCCTGCACCACACTAACAAAACAAAGTAAAACACGAATTTGCGATGAGCGCATTCAGTGAAGTTCATTTCAATTCTTTACGTCGTTAGACGCACCCATGAACGCGACAAATTGAACGCATCAACAATGTTCCGTAATGAGAGAAACATTTTTTACTTATAAAATTGATGTTTATCACGTGCTACGCTCTCACAAAAATCAATTTTGCACATTCGTGACGTACTGTACATGCTGTGTGGCAATTAGCTTGTTTTTGGGGACTTCAATGGGGTTGGAAGGGGTGGTTGACTAAGTATTTTTGTAGCACCGTCAATAACCTTTCCAACGGTACCACGGGTTTGACAATACGTGGACTACTTCTTAGATAAATAAAAATCGCCGCAAAGTCATTTTTTCGAATTTTTTTCAATTTTGTGAGGATTGGGTGACATCACATCCGGGGCGCGTTATGCAAGTATTCGATTTGCCAGCAATTTTCAAACGTGGCTCAACCAAATATGGAGTTTTTAATGCTCTTTCGTATGATACTAGAACTTTTTGTATATGTATTGCCTGTTTCGAGAAAAGGCCGATGGCGCGAATTACCCCATGTGGTGGAGTGAATTACCTCATGTGGCGCAAATTACCCCACGATTTTGTATTCCGCCCCAAGGGTTGTATCGGACCCCAAAAGGAGGTCAAACCAAAAAAATTTCTTCTATAAAAGTTAGATAAAAAGACAAGCTACAAAATGAATACATTTCTGAATTTTTTTCAATTTTCATGGAAATATAAAATTGTGAAAAAAAGTGGCGCGAATCACCCCACCTTCCCCTACAAATGGGATTGATAGTATTTTATCCAGTATCCTTTTGTCATGCAGTTTCTTTTCTAATTTGTGCAGAATGTTTTTTTCCGAAATGTGTCTACTATGTTTTGTTCCTTTTCCTCTTTCAATCGGTGATTCTGTATCTCTCTGTTTCTTGCTTTTATATTCCTGCAGAATGGACATCATGCGTGTTCCAACTTGTGTCCAAAAGAGAATTTGCCACCACCGGAAGACACAGCAGTTTGCCATTCACCCCGTTTAGTTGATGTGCCTGGTCATTGTTGTAAAGTGTGGTTGTGTGAAACACCATCTGCAGACGGTAAAGTATCCACTTAAAATGAATATAGATTTTACACATCTGTTTTGATCACAAAATTTTTCTTTTTTCATCGTCGTCGTCATTGTTGTTGTTATTTTGGTACAACCAAAATGCAAATACACGCTCAACAATTATCCGAACGCCATTTCTTGCGATGCTTGTTTTCTGATTCCATTTGAATGAATATATACATACAAAATTTTTGTGTTTGCCTTGTTTAGGTTGTTATTACTTTTGAAGCCATTTTCCCCCTGATGTGCCTTAGTAGTCAAACATGAACATGCTTTTTCCGTTGTTCATTTCCTTCTTTCTCTTTCGCTGCCACTTTCTAATCGATAACGAACAATTTTTTTTTTGTCTCTGTATCTTTTGGTGCTGTGTATCTGGTGTTGGCGATGTATAGTGAATGCGACATGTCAGAATATTTCGGCTAGCCCATGGACATCGTGTTCGGAAAGTTGTGGAATTGGCGTTTCAACACGAAATGTTGAGACAGCAGTTGGTTGCAAAAAGCTCAGTCCGATTCGTTTATGCCAGAGTCGACGTTGTCAAAATATCATGAACAATACATTTATTAAAAATGACTTTGAGAAAACCGATCACACGAATAATAATGCTCTTGTTCTACATAAACACCGCGTTCGGGTAAGTTCGCCACGTATATATATTTTTCTTTGCCTCCCGTTTTAATCTCGTTTTTGTCACGTACCAATCGAAACGTTGAGGATTGAACATGAAATACAAAATAGAATTAAACCGAGAGACAAAAAAAGCACAAACGAATAGTTGGAGATATATGTATGAATGTGAACAAAGAAGAATAGAACATTCAACACCCGAATTTATGTAACATAATATTGATTTTTGGTGTATTTATTTTACGGTGGCATCGATAATCACGTACCGTGACCGGATCAACCAAACACGCCGAAACGCAAACACGCACACGACGCACACAGAAAGGACACGAATGCCGAAATATGCAGCGTATTGGACCCTCCAGAATTCGTCTCGGGCCGTGTGTTTCACGGAAACTGTATCGACCGAAAATTTGTGGTCATTGCCAAAACAATAATAAATGCTGTGTGCCTTTGGTGTCTACTACCATACAAGTGAGTATGGAATTTGGTTTTTAATCAATTGACAGTGCGTTGATGGCCTCGTCTCGTCACATCTACAGCGTCGTGATCAGAGCGCGCACGACAGAGAGAATGTGCGAGGGAGAAATCGGCTCAGATTAACTGCCACCTTATAATTAATCGAATTTCTCTATTTCTCCCTATATCTTCTGTTCTCTTGTCTTCTTTGTTCTTTCAGGTGGAAATGCTGTGCCCGTTGAATACAGGAGATCCATTCAATTTTATTGAAACAAAGTACGATTTGTGGGACCACAACTCCATCGATCCAATCGACCAGGAGCTCTTACAATCACGACAAATACAAATAGAAAATCGATTTATCGCCGTACAATGGGTGCTGAAGTGCGATTGCAGCTTACAAGTAAGAATTGCATGGAACATATTTTCTATAAACATTCTACTCTTCTATCTGGAGCTAGCAATCTCTCGAGTTTTAAAAGCGATTAGCATATTGTCCATCCACAGCCAGTTTCAATTACTCGTCCAATATTTGCTCGAAATCAATTTCTAACATAAAAGAAAAATATACCAAGAAAAGGGAAACACAGTTGATTCACGTCCTCAGAGCCTGTCCCACATAAAGCGCAAGTTGTGCAATCTGGCAGCAAATTTTGAGCGCTTGAGCGCTGAGGCCGCTCAATTGCTTAAATTTTCCAAAAACATCTAGAAAAATTCAGGCGCAGAGAGCGCCGAAAGCGTTTGATCAGCCTTGTGAGAATATCTGAAAAATTTCGCCGAAAATTTAGGGCACTTGAGCTTAATTATGGAAAAATGGAACGCTTAAAGCGCTCAAGTTTTGCAATTTATGAACAGGACATGTATAAAAATAAATAGAACAACGCTGGCGAAAAAGTAAATTTTGTTCATGATGACTTTTTTCGAGTGAGAATCTTCTCATTTGACCATTAGAATATTCAGCGCGAGATGTATTCAAAAGGGCGCCAAAATCGAAGAACATGATGTCCAATGTTCAAGATACTGGATTATATTCAAGTGCCGCTTGTATTCAAGCGCCTTTATCCAATTTCAAAATATAAACAATAAGATTTCAGTGCCTATTCAACCGATTACAAAATATATTCAATTATTTTGAGTACCCTTTTTCATGTAACTCTCAGTAAACATGTGTATTCAAGGGCTATATTTCTAAAATGACAAAAAAAAAATTAGTTCACTCGCCTTCGGCGCGTTTGCAGTAATGTATGATATCTTGTATGTATCTAAAACGCAAAGAAGGACGCAAATGAGTGAAATCTCCTTTACAATATAAATGCGTAGTTCAATTCCTTCAGTAGTGACTTTCGGTATTCTTGTTGTTGTAGTATATTGAGTGCTCTGGTTTAAAATTAAAGAGACACGCTGATGTTTTTTGCACTTGAAATTTCCTGTTTATAATTATTATTGAAACTCAAACGTTGAAGGAGACAACGGGCAAAGCCAAGCCAAGCCAATCCAATAGCACAAAATTGTGAGAATAAAGCATTTCAAGAGCGTAAGCCAATTTAAGAACATTCTTCACTTTGAGGTACTTATATTGTGCCGGATACTACTACACTTTAGCTCATCTTTGAAAACGATAAATGGGCCTGTTCAAATTATTATGCTCAACATCTACGATTACTCACAGATAACAATTAAGAAAGGCCCAAGTATAATTTAGACGATTGTCGTTAATTTCGGCAAGTGTCTTGTGCAATGGCTTGCACGGAGGCGTCACATGATGTGGACACGAATTCTTCAAGAATTTAATATTTCATTGAACAATTTTCGAATTCATCCATAACTATTTAATTAAAACCATTGTAAGCCAAAAAAAAAACACAGTGAATTCGATTTTCCAACGATGGTACGGCGTGTGCAGCTCAAAATGCAAAATGCTCATATCCATCTGTGCTAAAGTGCGGTGACATGCAAAGCATGAGACATGCGAGGCATTTGCCTCAGGCGGCGTTTTTTTTTTGGGGGAGGGGGCGGTTAGCAAATAAAAATGATCGATGCGAAGTGCAGGGCGTCATTTTGCTTTGTGTAGCGAATCAGAAAAATTCATTCATTTGTTCCAATGGAATTCGTTTAGAAAAAAAAATGAACAATTGCATATGTCGCAACGAGTAAAATAAGCGTATTTATGCCCATTTTGGGCAGTTCAAAGAGCATTCCTTTTCAAAAAATTGGCGCAGTTCAAAAATCCAAACTATAATCATTTTCATATTCTATACGATCAAATTGAAAAATTTCGCGCTGCGCGCATTTTCTTCCCAATGTACATTCTAATGACTGTATGACATAAGACAATCGTGTTGAACGTCAAAGTTTTCATTATGTTTTGAAATTCAGACGCGAAATTTTGAGATTTGAGAATATCAATACCGAAAGACGTGACGACGATGAACTGCCGTTGTCGATGTTGAGAACAGTATTTGAATTTTAATTAGTTGATTCCAAAACTTAAACTAAAATATTCTTTGTTTGGAAGATCAACAATGGATCGGTTTATAGTCTAAATTCAATTATTACCGTGTATGATGGAGGAAAATTTAAAATTTGGATTTGTTATTTCTTTGGGAAAAAAAATTGGGTTCGGCATTTTGATAATTTGCCTCGTATGGCACAAAACCTTTGCACGCCACCGCTAAAGTGTGTATAAATTTGCGATGGTAAATGCGTTTCATGCCACCTGATCCACACACAAACAAAACCAAGTGCTTCGAACAAATTAACGATTCTAATAAAAAGTCCGTGCAGTTGCCATAAATTGGTCTGCTGAGACTCATTATTTCTGTTTTATGATAATCATCGAGCGCAACGAAAACAGAGCAAACACGAAATATACTCTTCAATACGCATAAATTCTCGTCCATTTAACGGATATCCTCTCTCTCTCTCTCTCTCTCTCTCTCTCTCTCTCTCTCTCTAGAACGCTATTGAAAAGAGTAAACGCTACAGAAAGGAGGAGTATATCAATAGAGAAAAAGAGTAATGTGTGTGTGTGCTCCATCACATGCACATCTCCGAGCATCATCGGAATTAATTATTAGCGAAAAATCTCTTGAGTGCGGGGGTATCATTACACTAACAACAAACATCATTTGCAAAATGAAATTCGTCCAAAACCTGCTGACATGGAGTGAACGCGCTCACTTTACAAACGCACTTGTTCATCTTGCCGATTTGACAGCTAATGTCAAATCGACTTCTGTTTCAGTGTAGATTTCTGTTCGAACGCAAGCGTTTTCTCAGTGTGGTCCGCAAAATTAAAAAAAAAAACAATTAAATAAAAACCGTAATTTTCTCTCATACATCTCGATTGAAAATGAAAGAAAAACAATTTTTTTTAAATACGGGTTTAACCTACCCGAAAGCAATTTTTTTTTGTCTTGTATGCCAGCGGCATATTTGCACAATTTTATTTGTCAGAATCGAAACATTTTTATTTATTTAAAATTCAAACAATAATTGAACCATTGCGACAAACAATTTCCCTCAGAATATTTTAGTTTTAAAGTGCAACAAGAAGTTGCCGTCAAAATGTGTGGCGTTGTTGGTTTGACGTTTAATGATCGAGACTATCGCGGTGCTCTTGAGCTTGCTATAAAAGGAACATAGTGTTTAGTCGACGCACAACATAAAACTCTTTCTCGAACTCCTATGTCATAATATTATTCGAATTATTTCTCTTCGTTTCGACCAATTTTGTTTCCCATTCGCTTTGGCGTACAACCAAGCTTCTTGCAACCAAAGCTAAAATTTGGTCCTCTCTATCTCTCTTACTTACATACTTACTTTACTCCGATCAAACGACAGCAACTCGACTTCGAAACGAAAAACCGCTTTGGATCCCCAAAGAATTCGCTTTTTATTTACATATACATAATGGATTTGAAGGTTTTATTGCTCATAAGATTGAGATTTCAAATCGTCCTTTTGGTTTTATTCGTATTTTCTGCACATTCTCCAAATGACACACACACACACACACACACACAAAAAAGTGCTGGTGAATGGTTTCCGTAGCAAAACTGTTGCTCCCACCGCCTATAAGAAGCTTAAATAAAACTTTATTGTTATCATACTAACGATTTAAATCTGATTGTTCGAATATTTCACTTGAACGGTCGCGCGCGCTTCGGCAAGTGTTAAAGCAAACGAAAGAAAGTTGTAGAACTGACTAATTATAACAATTTTCAAAAATGGAAACGGTAACGATTAAAACGAATTGGAGTGTGAATGAGTAAATAAGCAAAAGAGGGAGAGAATGATCAACGTCAAAGACAAATAAATAAAATATGAGAGTTGACATTTTTGCCCAGACGAACGAGCGAAAGAATTTCAATGGAGGCAAGCGAGAACATTTCTCTCTTGCTGCGATGTGTCGAGCAGCAAATGGTCTCGGAGCTCGTAAATGTTTTCTCGGTGAACATGTCGGGCGTCGAGTGTATTGTGTTTATGCATAGCTGAAAAATAAAAATGGGGCGAACGAAAGAAGAATAAAGACGAACACGAGCGGCGGCAAAAAGGAGAAAAAATTATACACTTGTGACTGTGAAAGGTGTCCATTTTGCGTCAACACAGACGAAGAAGAATTAAAACCGATACTCAGTTGCTCATATTTTATGTGGTAAATTTTGCAGTTGTTATTTTTGTTCACCGTTGTCGTCAGGTTCGATTTTCGTGAGTCTCAAAGCGTTCATTCAATGCCTTGATCCATCTGTCTATTGGGCTAGAAACGATTGCTGGCGGTTTGTGTTGCTGTGTGTCGATTTACCTGGTTCATATGTTCATTTTGATCGCTTTGCTATTCAGCAGCCGCTCGCTCACTCGCTGTGCACCGCACATTCGTTTGTTTCACAATTTTATTTTCATGGAAAACAACCATGGGGCGTCTTTTCCTGTTATTCTCTCTCTCTCTCTCTCTCTCTCTCTCTCTCTCTCTCTCTCAATCTCTTTCTCTTTTTCCTTCTCCTTCTCGGTGTGTCGCCGAACCGCATCACCAACCGAAACGGAAAAAGATAGAAAAAAAAATAACAAAGAAAATAAATAAATAAAAATGTTAAGTGTGTGCTCGTTCAACAGGCACATTCACATGCACTTTCTTTGGACACTCTTATTTATCACGTTGCCTTTTTATTTTAACACTCTCTCCTTCACTTACCCATTCGTTCACACTCTAACTCACGACGTATTTATCTCACAAAATACTTGGCCTCGACAAACGACTTCACTTGCCATTCACTATTTACTGGCTCGTTTATCGTTTCATTGTCTTTCACATCGCCATTTGGAATTTCATTAAAATTCTTGAGCTTCATTTTGTAAGTTATTCCAAACATCTTCCTCCAATGTGTCAGTGTTTGATGTTATGTATTCTAATATGTGTGAAACAATCTGTGCTTTCGTTGTGGAATGCCAATAATAATTATTAAAATCTGCGGTATAATGGGGAAAATGGGAATTTAATTCCGTGTTTTCAGTCTGGGACGAGTGAGTCTATAAAACAAACGAAAAAAAGACGCTGCTGTGTGAATGAACGGATCGATGCAGCACTGAAGGAAAAAATGTTGAAAATAATAAAGTTTTTTTTTTTAAATGTGCGCTTGTATTCAAGCAAGAAAATCAACATGCATACTTTTGTGTACACTCCTTATCCAGGCCAGATGAATGAGCAGAAACTTTTATCTTCGTTCCATTCTCCTCGCAACTGTGGGTCGTTGGGCTCCATTCATTTCGAATTCTTCGAATGAACCTCGTCTTGTGGGTGTTTGTGTATGCCTTTCGGTGTAAGATTTACTTTGGTTTCAGCAACGGAAAGCGAACGTCGTGTGCTCATGGTGAATTTTCGGAAAAAGTGTCCCCTTCAACCAAAAGTTGTGTGATGATTGACCAGAGGCACCTACACCGCTGTAATAACAACATCGTTTCTGTATCTCTCGCTCTCACTTTTCACAAATAAAATCCCTAAAATTCAAATTTCGTAACAGTAAATGCATAGACTTTTGCTCGTTACAAAAATGAATCGCCTGAGCGATGATATTTTCGCTACAGAATCCGGCTAGGAATCATAATTTTGACGGAAATTTCCATATAAATTACTTGTTCCTATTGAATTTGATGAACGAGAGCGAACAAGCTCGGCTGACATCGAGTGGCGAGAAAATATGAAAAGAAGAAGGGAAAAAAATATGGCGATGAAAAATTGAAAATCGTTATTATTTAGCCGATGTCTTTGTCAATGAGCCTAACGACGGAACTTTGCTACTAAATTGAACGATGGTGACGTGTTTACGATATGTCACCCATTATATTCTTGGCAATTTTTGGTTGGCGTGTGTGATTTGACTTAGTTTCCATGTCGCGAATCATTCTGGTCGTTATTTTTAGCCTATGTTCGATCGTTGTAATTATGAATAATTTCAGGGCAATTTTTCAACCAAACTGAATATATTTTTTGTCTATTGAATCGAACCGAATGTGATGCAAGACCAAATGTTTTGTGTACACACACACACACAGATGCACATCGAACTCTTCGCAGGTTATTGGGCATTACCGTAATCGAAATTATGCATCCATTAGAAACCATTCAAACATACATGCTAATTGCGATTCAATGTAATCGATGGATGTCACACAAATCACATTATTTACGTGGCTATATTTTTTTTTTAATTTTAATCGAGAATAAAAAGAAGTTTTTTCGCCCGTACTTTACCGTCTGACGATAAAATCATGACCAAATTAACGAAATTAATGAATACGATTCATTTCACTTATTGTAAATGTTCGTCGTCGTCGTCGTTGTCGGCGGCGACAGCTGATATTCAGCTTAATATGGATTCTGTTCTAATTGACATCGACATCCGCCTGAATAATAATAAGCGGTTGTAATTCGAAATATTCACCAAATAAGATTAAATATCGCTGTCGAAAAATCTATTTAAATCTATAAATACGGAGCAAGTGAGAGTGTGAAAGAGACAAAGAGAAAGAATGAAATGTTATGTGATTTGGCCATATAATTTCAGTTTGTTCATTTAAATGAATATAATTAGCTGCAAATGACAATCACAGGCTGTGTGCTCTCTTTCTCTGCTTACTTGCACCAGCAACACGCTCTATAAATCAAGATAATTAATTTGCGTTTAAAAATTCCAATTTAAGTTTATTCCAAGATATTTAATTGCTGTTTATTTGTTTGTTTTTTTTTTTGTCACTGCAGGGTGATTCGTGCCAAGATAACAACGTCACTAATTCGGACATTAAGGAACTACTGAGTCGAGTGCATCGAACATAAAAGCTTAAGCCAGGCAAGAGAAACAACGGAAAAAGTGGCGTCAAACTTTAAATCGTGAAGGTTTCAAGTAAAGAAAAAGTAAAAAAGAAGAAGAAGATGAAGAAAACGATAGAAAAAAAAGTTGTTAAGCTTCGAATGTTACAGCAACTTTCAATGATTTATGGTCATTTGTCTATAAAGGCAAACGGTTGCTTTCGCTGAATTTACTTTATGAGCGAAACTTAGGCGTTTCTTTTGGCGTTGGTTTTTTTTTTTTGGTCATAGTTTATTTTTCAATATTCATTTGTCTATGTAAATCAAATGACGCTTGGCAACGAATTTGTGTTTTTGAATAGAAGAAAAAACTGGCGTGTTTTTTCAAACTTGAGAGAGATAAAAATTGTCTGCATCGAATGTGGATCATAATTGCTTAATTTAACCCATATGGCCATTTAATTTGTAGTTGCGATGATTATGAAGGTGGACAAAAATGAAGCTAAATGTCACAAAAGTGCCGGTACTCTATTGTCGAACAGAAATCAATGTGCGTAAACTTGTATCCAGTTTCGTTTTTAATGGCATTATTGACACTCTCATACACATTAGAAACAAAGGAAGAAAAAAGCACACACACACATTGCACATTGCACTGGATATCCAAAGGGACGACACGTTTTGACGAAGTCTACGGCGAACTCATGAACTATCGAAAAGTCAATACAAAATGATACGAGAGTTCGTGGCGCTGCGAGCGCTCAAATGATGTTTGCACTGAAGTGTCGTCAGCTTGTGGATATCTAGAGCTAAGTGCCATGCAAAACACACATGGATATATGTCAAGGTGGATTAGGATGGGCTTTTCAAGTGACATTATTTAATAGACAAAGGGATATTGCAACTTTTTTGACCAGAAAAAACGCCATCTTACGTCGTGCCCCTAAATTATTTTACTGTACATTTTAGATGGTAGAGCTTGAACCAAAGTTCGACACTATGCATAAACTTGGAAAGAGCTTGATAAACTTGATGAAATACATACATATATCTTATGGTCGTTGCAATACCCCTATGTTAATAGATGTGTTGCGCCTCGATTTAGCCCGTACCAATTTATGGCACAGTACAATGTCACATTTTGTGTGTGCGTATATGTGTGTGTTCGCCGCATCAATCTTCCTCTCTCTCTATCTCTTTCTCTCTCTCTCTCAATTTGCACATAAAATTTTATCACACTTTATCTTTTAGCACGACTTACTAATGGCATTTGAAATGCATCAGTGCAAAACGGTCCATTCATTTCAGTTCCATTGAGCTAAAATTTTTTTTTCGTTCATTGCCCATACCTAAATAAAAATAAGTTGATTATCTATTCAAATGGGACACAATATACATATCTATGCAAGTTTCACACAACATACAGACAACACACACACACACACATCTATTTTATAGGGCAAAATTAATTCAAAACACTTGTATATACGGAATCCGATCAATTAGCAAAGTGACAGGCGTAAATGAAACAATGTAACAAGTGGCAAGAGTTTGGAAATCGTAAATGCTATAAGTGTAAATAATATATCAATGAAAGAACAAGAAGAAGAAACCACAAAATAAGAAAAAAATACTCGTCCATTCAACATTTTATTGGAACAACAAAATTGTTAGCGATAGGAACTACAAAACCGAGTGTGCATCTTTTTAATCGGCTAAATTATTTTAACATTTTTCATACTACATGTTGCAAACGTAAATAAAAGGCAAAGAAAAAAAATTAAACTCTCAAACTAAGCACATTTCTGTTTTCGACACACTTTTCGACATTGCCACGTTGCAAAACCAACCAAGCTTTTACTTTAATTTAAGCTGAATGAGACGGCACATGTTTCGGTTGGAATTCAGTGTTGGTGCAGCAACATGAAATGTTGTAGCATTTAATTGAATAAAAAATTGTTCAACAATATTTAAATAATTTAATAAACCCACTTAAATAGATTACCATCATCAACATATTTATTGAATTTTCCATGCGTTTATCATGAAGCAACAATTAGTTACCGAAAATGAATGCAAATGGCTTTCATCAGTTTCAAAATATCATTTCAACTGCATAGAAATGGTGTTGATTTAAAATACACTGCAGTCGTTTGCAGTGTCACCCCGGCTTTTAGTGCTCGTGGAAATTGTCGCAATAAAATTATTAATAAACGAACTCGAGCCGCTTGTTGGTCATTCACACAGTCGCTCGATGCAAGGCCGACTTACTCAAGAGAGAAAGAGCGAGAGTACGGAGGGATATACAGATGCAAGCAACTGATGAGGAAACACGCAGCAAGAATATGTGATTATTTGAAACCGCAATTCATTTAAACGAATGAACACGCATCGCCAAATGATACACCTACCCATATCTGGTTTTCACATCCAATTTTTAGTAGTCCATATTTCAAATGGACTTCATCATACAAACCGTGCAGGCATAGCTTAACGACTTCACACTAACACACACACACACACACACTCTCTCTCTCTCTCTCGCACACCCATACAACGAAGAAATACACAAGCTACGGAATGAAAAACAGTGCGTTAGACCAAAAATACTCACAAAAGGATGACACCGGAACCGCACAAAATACAGTATGCGGAACTCGTCCTGGAAAATTCGATCCTTGTTGCAAATTCAATACATGAATATATATATTGCATACAGGCTTCCGGAAAAAATACCCATGTTTTCAAAACGATGAATGTATAATTTTTTTCTTTCGATTCTTATCTTTCTCGCTTCGCCACCGATAATGGAAACGGATCATGAAAAATCACGTATTTTTCGAAAGATTTTTGGGATATTTGATTACATATAGCCAATGATAACGGTGAGTTGCACCTTATTCTCAGCTTTTTTTGCCTCACATTCATTTTATTGATTTATTTTTGTGAAATAAAATTTCAAAGCATCCTTCTTGTAACTTGAACAAAAAATGAGGATTTTTCTTCGGCTTGAACACATGCTTTGTATGAAATCGGACGGTTTTTCTTCCCTTTTTCTTTTCTCGTTCCTCCGATGTCGTCGGTATATTCACATAAGTGTGTGTGTGTGTATGATGTGCATTGCTGTTATCCATTTGGCATTTATGAACATGCTGATACGAGATGCTTTCATGATCGGATACTTTTTACATCGTCTGATTGACAAAATGATGAATCAATAGATTTGAGTGATAAATGTGTCATAAAAACCAGTGGAATAAAAACAACCACTTTTGATTCGCACAATAAAGACATCAATGCTGAGAAAATTGTTCGGAATTTTGGGACCGTCGTACAGATACACCGAAATTCTATTTCGTTCAATCAAACGCTCAAATGTTTCTCTTTGATGCTATTATTGTCTCGTTTGTGAACTTCTGGGCTCTAAGTTCGGTGGTAACAGAAAGTGCAACACTTTTTCAACATTGTCAAACCAATTTTTATGGATTTTGAACATACTAAACGAAATTCATAAACAGTTTTATGAAATAAAAACAAATTGACATTCTAAATTGACATCTTACTTCAATAAAGCACAAGCGGGTGCAAATTGGTGTCAAACAAAAACCAAAAGAAAAACACTTTGATCAAAAATACATTTGATTTAGTTCCTTTGAAGAGAATTATGTAGAAATATAAGATTCAGTGTCACAAACATACCAAACCAAACCAAACCGAACAGAATGAAGAAAATAAACAACGGCAAACGAATTCATTTGCGATCAGATTACAGAGTTAGTTTTAGCGATAAACAGTTTCGAGATGTTAGTTTGTAAATTTCACTACTTGTAAATACCTAACTGTAAAATGCATAACAACCAAAAAACGAATAAAAATGATTGTGGTTCAAACCAATCCAAAAGTGAATGTGAATTGTCTTTTAAAAGTGGCGCGATAAGTGTTGTGCTCTCTGCGTTCTCTTCGTTAATATTCGCTTTTTTTCAGCGGGTGTATTTCACGAGATAAAAGGTAAATTGGATCTTCTTGATGTGTCGACGATGGTGTTAGTGAATTTATAACCTCGAGCCAACTGCTTCTGCTGCTGCTGCTGCTGCTTTTTATTACTTTGAGTTGCTAAATCGAGATGTATTATTGCGAAAATGTCAATAATTTGGGAAGTGAAAATTGTCGATGGTAAGTAAGGTTCTCGGCGATGCGGTTTGAACGTGCCATCATATACATGGCACAAGAAGAAAATTGGCAAAATTTCCGGAAAAAGAGAAATTCACTATGCGGTTCCAAAAACCATCGTAATCGTTGGCATCTCTCATTTCGTTGGAGTTCGAGTTTAGTGTGCGTGGTTCATCAACTGCAGGCAACCAAATTCCTCCGAGAAATATGCAAGATACCTGTGTCTAAATAGCAAAAACGAAGCAATGCCAACGTATTTACGGACAAAGTAATTTCAACTAATGACAATTGTTATCGTGACAAAAACATGCGTTAACAAGATATGTGTCAATAAATAGTCTGATTCATGTCTATTCTATACGCTTCTTTTTTCGTTCCATTCCTTTCTCACTCCATCTATGGCTGGCACTATCGTACAACGTTGGAAGCGGAAAAGAACAGGCGATTCGTTTAGCTGTTTTCCTTGCCAATTGTAATCCTTGCATATCATCTGCCGTATCGTTCCTACTCTGCACAGCTATTTGGGTGGCAATCACTTGTTCGTTGGTATGCATTAGTTTCTGGGCGGCAATGAGAATGCTCGCATCGTATGCTACCTAACGACAGTATATTCATCGAGATGGGCGATTCATTTATGTGTGTGATGCGCATCTGAACAAATGAAACTGCCATAAAAAATGTTTACGTATTTTCGCATTGATGCGTGTGTCTTCATCTTTACTTTGTCATACGCGTTTGTTCGCCTACGAGCGACTATTTTTCGCTCATTCCGACCGTCTTTCTCCCTCTGTTTTCCTCGTTTGCTTTCTTAGGCTCAGCTCTTCGTTTGTTACTCGAACAAGAACGTGCACGTGAACATGAACGGGGGGACCCACGCAAATATATCACACAAAAGGTAAAATCAGTAATGGAATACGACAAGAGGAAAAAATAATAACGAAACAAAAACGGTAACAAAGACACAACGCGCAGAAAGACGCATACAGCGTTCGTTTAAATGTGACCTGCCTGCGGCAATTTTTGCCGATGTATTTCCATCTGACACAACGGTTAAAACACCAAACTTGGCTGTGGCAGATCTAGCTGGCTGGATGGCTGGCTGGCTGGCTGGCTGGCTGGTTTGGTTAGCAACATTACATAATAAATGTGATCTCAGGTTTATGTGCGCTCGATCCCAAGATATAGAAATTCGTTTACATTTTTATTCGCGGCAATAGCTTGCAACATTACAATCATGATATAAGTACAATATGTACGCCAAACGCCCGCTCTCGTGTAGTTTACTACCGAACCGATGTTCTTTAACATCCCCCAATGTTTACGACGTACGGCAAGAGCGATTACCAACTCCCAAACACTGTGCATAGAGCCAACGAATCAAAAGAAAAATTATGATTCGTGACTTAAAATGTGCGAGCATACAAATAAACAAAACAAAATAGACTGTGTGAAAAAAGTAAGACAGTTGGTGTTCTCACCCTCTGAGTCTCTCGGCACAGTAAAGATTCACATAAACCTTTTCCCATTTCAAGATGGTTGGCAATATGTATGAAACGGAGCATTCGGAAAGAGAAAGAGCCAAAGACGTGGCGGCGAAATTCACTTTAATTTCATCAGCAATGGAAATTACGTCATCTTCGTAAATAAATGACATTCATAATTTATGCTTCATAAAGGCGATATTTTGAGTTATTTCGACCGTATTTTAATACAAACAATTGCAATGTGTTGACTTGTTGTACGGCTTATTTATTGTGATTATTTTATTACGCGGAGCATCAATAAAACGATGCGCTCAAGTCTTAAATGCTGTGAATATATTTATTGCCGTTTCGAAAACAAATGCCGCAGAAATAGCAACAACACACACATACAATCTAGGGGAATTTATCTCTTTGGGGAATGCATTCGCATTTCAGAATAAAAATTCGAATGTTTGCGAATGCGACTGAATTCGGCTATGACAGCGAACTTGTGACTACATCATTTATCCGTTCATTACCTCATTCGTGTTTGTGCATGCATTGGCAACGCTGCCGTATGATTTTCATGTAAACATTCGTACTCGCATTCGCGAGAACATTCGGAAACAGTGAAATACGACTGCTATACGAATTCGAGTGCGAATGTTTACATAGAAATCATACGGCAGCGTTGCGAATGCATGGCACTGAGCGCAAATTTTTGAAAAAAATTCAAATGCCAAACCGACATAACAGCCCCTAGCATTCAATTCACTGAAACTACCATGCTCAACTGATATGTTCGACAATTGCTGAACGAGATGATGCTGGAATGTAAAAGCATTTGTCAGAACATTGTTTTGCAAGCACAGTACAGCGATTCGTTTCAATGGTATTAATGAATCAAGTCACCTGTCAAACATATCAGTTCCGCATTTTTCACCTGCTCTAAAGCATCGCATACATAAACTTCAGCGGTATCACACAATCAAAATCATTGTATTTAATACATTCATTTCGAATTTGGTATGTAGATTTCGGACGGTATTCGTTTTTGTTTCGCTGATTCGTTATTTGACGATGCGATGGATACGAGGCACATCCCATCGTGTTTGAATATCCGTCGCATGAAAAAAACGAGCGACGTACAATTCGATTTGTTTCCATTCATGAATTTAATCACGAAATTTCAATTTGAGTTTCGGTTTCGTTGTGATATTCCTGTTCGGTGGATCGTGTCTCGAAGCGGCGATACAACTCAATGGTTGGTATCGCATGCGTCTGCATGTCTCGCTGAGTGATTGATTAAGATTTAATTATATTAAATTGTATCGAATCACAGATCAAATGCTGTTTTCATTTAAATGTAAATGCCAGCCATGAACAAGGGATTACTTCAAATTATTTCATGATTTTTGCATTTAATCCCCTTCAAAACGAAGAGGAACGAGACAAAAAACAATATACCGTATCAAGAGCAACCTTTATTCAGTCGTTAGTTTCAAATTGAATCTCGTAAAACTATCCCCAAGCCCAGCCACAATCGGCTAAGATGGGGTTTGAGTTGAATTTCGCATTAAATAATTAATTTTCTTTTTCTCTTCGTCTCTCATCAATTTGTCTCTGTCAAATTGTGTGCAACAACTGTTTGGTTGCTTCTGTTGTTGCCATGAATATATCGATCGCTTGTTGGTTGTAAATTTTTTTTTTATTAAAAATTCCTATGATACTCGGATATTATCAAACTACTAGCCGTCTCAGCGCGCTGCGCGTGCCTCAACGTCTAGTATTCTTCTGTGCCTCGGCGCGCCTCGACCTAGGGACAAATTTGTTTCAATATTTTTTTGATGACCGCTCCTAGAAGAACTCACCAATTGTTGCACTTCAAAATTCATGAATGACATCCATATAACTTATTTTTCATGAATTCAAACAACCTAATTTCACATATGAATCATTATGTTTTTCATTATTTTGGATATACATTTCGTTCAATTTTGGTTGGTTAGTTTCAAGGACCACACAATCAATCGCCAACCAACAAATCAAAATCGATTTCCATCAATCAAAATGTCTACAATGCCAGTGATTTCAGTTTGATTCTTTTCTTTTCGTTATTGTTCTCCTTTTGTTTTTGTTCCGTCGCGATAAAAAGATTTTAAATAAGAAAAGCAGCAAAATCATATGTTTTGCTTTTCAACCAATGAATATTTTATGGGACATTTTGAATATTTGGATAATTCAAGTTCGAAATGACTTGAAAATTGAGTTTTGTGTTTCGAAAAACATGTTCAAACATTTTCGAAAATGAGCTCGAACCTTTTTCAAGTCCACAATCAGTTGGAAATTGAATTTGGTGTTCTGAAAAATATGTTCGAACATTTTCGAAAATCAAGTTCGAAAATGTTCGAAAATTGAATATTGTGTTTCGAAAATTAAGTTCGGCTATTTACAAAAATAAATTTCCTTTCAAAACCAGTTATTTTAGTATATTTTTAGTAAATTCGAACTCATTTTCGAAAATCAATAAAACCACCGCGGGCTCAAGACCTTTCCAACGATACGCTGTGCTTTCGGATCGGTTGGGCGGTTCAGAAGATTACCCGGAACATACATACAAACATTTAGAATTATCTATATATATAAAACTCATTGTGTGTGTATGTGTGCGTTTGTCCTATTTTTTTTTATTTTCATGATTTTTTAATTCTTGGTTTTAATGGTGAATATGTCGTTAGAATTCTCGCGGCTTAAATAGCAGATTCACATATCAGTTTTGATTTTCGAATTAAATTTTCCAAAGTTTGAAGAAACAATTTTTTTAATTGTTTTTCGATACAACGTACATTAATGTGGATTGATGGCAATGAAATATTGGTTTTGGAACAGAGTTGAACATGGACACCATCTCGGTCCATCATGGTCATGTTAACACGACTTAACACCATGAATAGTCAATATGGGTGTCATATAAAAGGTTTTGGAACGGGGATGAACATGGACACCATCTCGGTCCATTATGGTCATCTTAACACGACTTAACACCAATTCACATATGAAAAAAATGCGTGTAAAATCAACTCCAGAAAAAGGAGCAACTTTCCCAGAAAATCGTCTTTGCTTTGAAAAAACAAGTATGAAACATACGAAATGATACAGACTAACTTTCATAACTGAATTTTGCTTTTTACGTCAAATTGTATCGTCATCTCACTGAAATGCTTAGTTTTCTTATTCATCTTTCTTGATTGAAAAAAAAAAAAACTAAAAGAA